TAGAAAGCTGGAAGTTAAGACTACGCATTCACTTTTATGTGATAAGTATTAAATAGTTCTTGGTGACACCAGAGCATGTTCCTGTTTTGTATGTTGGTGGGTTTTTGTTCATTTTGTTGTTGCGGGGCAGTTATTTTTTAATTTCTCCCTTTTTTAACAGCTCTTATGTGAGTGCATTTGTATTAAAAGCTGACAGAGTAGCATTTTAGGATTGTGTATGTGATTTTAGTGACGGGATTAGTAGCGGTGCCGTACTCGACGTACAAGTTGGGAGAAGCATGCCATGCCGACTCCTTAGATGCGTCTTGCTCTTCATGGTACAAGTAAGAAAAATACTTGAAATAAGTAACAGGTATTTTTGGGAGGGAGTTGGATGCAGCATTAAGGCAGTTTCTGGTATTTTTAAATGCCTTCTGAAAACCTGTAATTCCTTATTACAAGCAGGATTTCCAGCTTTTTTTTTCCTCCTATTTCTAAAAAAAAAGAAAAAAAAAATTGTTTGAGTTGTCTGTGCTTCGTGCAGCTGGGTGTGCCCTGCGTGAAGCGCTAGATATTGTGTGTTCTCTCTGAAGACTGTTTATCGTTCTGGCCAAATGTTGTCAAACAAAATTTGTGTTTCATCACAGCCAATTAACCAGCAGTGGATAAATGAACTGTTTGATTTGTCTTGCTTATGAAACCAATTCAGATAGAAAAAAGCCCTTGAGTTAAATGAGGGTGTCTTGAAGGAAGTCAAGGTGTTGTAAACATGCTTTGAAGATCCACTAATGCCTGGCTGAAAAATGGTGGTTTTGGATCACCTTTTGATGGGCTGCGCGTGGAGGGTTCTTCGGGCGGACCTTCGCCTTTGATGGTTTTGCCTTACGGTGTCTGGGAAGATGGAGCGATGCTGCTGCTGGTGAGGGTGCTGGTGAACTTGTGCAAGGACAGGCTCTTGGATGCCTGATGTGGTTCAAGAGGGTGAGAAATAGGCTGTTAGTCCCACGCCTGTACCCAGGGATTGGCCAAGATCCTCTTCCCTTTAACAGCATTGCCAGTAAAACTGTGGCAATGTGGGTGTGTTGTTTTTTGTTTTTTTTTTTTTAAACTGAAAGTGTGGTCCAAAAGTCCCACACCTGGGATCTGTCCCCCTGCCCTGGAGCTGAGGGAGCGGGAGGTGGGAAGCGGGAGAAGGCTGCAGCAGGCGGGCAGGGCAGCAGCAACGCTGCAATTTCGTAACGCGAGTTATAAAGTCCAGAATGATGATTGCTTGAGTGAACTCTAGCCAAAGCCATGCCCTTTTTGGATTAAGGATGAACAGAAATACCAAATAGGATTTAGTAAGATGTTGGAACGATAAGTGAAAATTGTGTTTCTGGTATGGATGATTTGAATGACGCTCGACTAGTTCATTTGCTCAGTACATCTAGATCAGCAGTTCACAGTGGGTTAAAGAATACGCACGAGTGAATTTTGTGTCAGAAATTTCTGTTAACTTCCTTCTGAATTTCCTTCTTTCTTTCAGCTCTTCGTATTGAGCTGGAGAAAAGGCATGAGGTTTGAAGAGTCAGTTGTGTAGTGAAGTCACGTACTAAATGGACTGCGCAGAGTACAGCGTGGCTAACTGCAAAAATAATGACTCAAACCTCACAGAATTAGACTTTCTAAAAATGGAAATAGTATGCTGTGCTTTTGGCCTGTTTTCTAATTTCTTTTAATTTTTTAACTTTTCTTTCCCCAGATGTGGAAATTAAGGTGACTTTGGTCCTTGCTGCGGGGGCATTAGTTTTGTCTCCCTTAGCCTGGCTCTGCTCCTCCTAGGAGTTGACACTTTCGCTCAGGCCTCCCAGGAAGAGGGAAAGGGAAATTATAGCAGGATCCTCTTGATAGCAGCAGGTACAGGTCAACAAGTTCTTCATCTTCCACTTCCAGGCCTGGTGTGCAGGGTGGGAGGAGCAGAGATGCTGTCCTCTTGCCCAGAGGGTGGGGTAGGGGTGGCAGGAGCTCGGCTGCACCAACCTGCTCCGGGCTCTTTTATCTTGTGGGAAAAGGTTTAAATCTGGGGAGCGGGTGTGGATGTGGGAGAGGGAGAAGCAATTCTGCCTCCGTGCAGCTCTGGCTGCGTCTGCAGCGGTGGTGGGAGAGGCGACGGGGCAGAGCTCCTTCCCACCAGTCAGCAATGAAACTGGGAGAGAGCGGAGCTTCTCATGCCAGCCTGAGACAGGGCTGGCGTTCGCTCTGACTTGGGGCAAAAAAAGCTGAGGACCAGCAAATAGTACATAAGTTTGATCAGGACCAGCAAATAGTACGTAACTTTGATCACAGTAGTAGAATTTTGGATAGTGGATTTTAAAAGTTCATTATAATTTCAAGTGGTCTGAAAACTTAGTTTTGCAATTTCCGTTATGCTGAAGTTAATTGCTAGCAATGTTGATTTAGAGGGTGTGCCTCAGTCTTCTGCTTTTCAAAGTACCTTTACTGCTTGCTTTTCCGAAACACAGCAAATTTATCTTCTGTAATGTTTTGTGGCTGTGGAAGATACGAATTTGACTGGGAAAAATTGTCTGAAGTACAGAGTTAAGAAAGCCCCACTAACTTCATTTATTTACACATTTAATGCTAGTGTGATTTTAATAGCTTAGTACACATTGTAGGCACTTAAAATATCTCTGAGTAGAGATCTAGAAGATTACATAGAAACAAGTCTAACTTGGATCACATTCAAATTATTGACTCTATTAAAAAGTTAAAAACCCCTAAGCCCAATCCCCATACAGTCAAAATGACTACCCGTAAAGATATTTATCATTTACTATACTACAAAAGATTGGGGAGGAGTGGTAAAAGGTGTGATTAGCTGGTGACTAATTTTGCATTGACCTGACAGGTATAGCCAGATCAACTCTGCTTTTGCTCTAGCTCTGATCTCAAGTGGATCTTTGCTATAATGTTCCTTTCATGTGACAGTGTTTTTACAAATGTTGTTTTTTTCCTCAGTCCCAAGAGTAATAGTAAATGTTGATACAATTTTGGAAGATTATGCTTGTCTCTGTAAAAAATAGTAAAGGTCTTTGTTAGTATTTAACCCTCTATTTGTAAAATGTAGAATTCTTAGTTAAGATTATAATCTTCTAAATGTATAGCTGTATATAATTCACAATATTAGTGTATTGATGTGAATGAACAACTGAAAGATAGGGGACTCCTATTCCTTGCCTCATATTTTGCCTTTAATAGTAAAATGGCATAGATTCAAACTATTCCAGTTGGCTTTAACTGATCAGTACCTATAATTAAATCTGATATTTTTCTCTGTTTAAATCCTACATGTATAAGAAATTGGGCTGCAGTCTGAAGAATAAGCTTTTGAAGCCTCTAACTTTTAAAACAAGTTTGCCATTAGTGTGAAAATGATCCAGGTAGTTTGCTTGCCACATTCCAGTGTACAGGTCTCTCTCTCAGTAGGCAGCCTTGATGTTCTCTTGCAGTTACATGGGTTCAGCTGATTACAGGATAACTGGAGAAAAAAGTGATTTTTCACACATAATTTAAAAGTTATCGTATTCATAGGCTTGATATCAGCATCGAGTTGGATTATGCTAATGCTTTTACCTTGTTTACAGTGCAAATGTTTACAATGCAGGGAAATACAATAAACCTTTCGCCCTAAAAAGCATCAAAGCTTTAAACTTACACTGTGGGTTTATTCTGGTTTTGGCAACCTCTTAGATTTCACTATATTCAGAGTAGTAGACAAAATGAAGCCAAATGAGTAAGAAATTACAGTAATAGGCTAAAATGTTATTAAGGTGAAAAGACTAGTATTTTAAAAACTGAGCGATAGGTTGAAGTCTTCTTGTTTAGAATGGAATAGCTGGTTTTGCATAGCTTGCAAAGTAATGCTGTAGCAATTTTTTTTTTTTTTTTTTTTTAAATAATCAGGCAGCTGTCTAAAAACATGAAATAATGATTTTCTAAGCAGATGACATTTTCATTTTAGCCCGCAAATTATGTGGAAGAATATATTCTAAGCAGATGACATTTTCATTTTAGCCTGCAAATTATGTCGAAGAATATCTATTTCTTTCCTGGAAGCACCTACCATGCTTTTTGCAGATCAGCAAGGCACATTTATAAATCTCTTGATATGAAGTATAGCACGTGTTAAAAGAGTTAGTACCACCTTATTTATAATCTCATTTTGTTTACTCCTTTAAGTCCCAATGCTTTATCAAGCTCAAAGGGAATCTGTTCCAACTTTTTTTTGTGTGTGTTGCAGCAGGTTGATGTATTTCTGTTAACTCAAGCAGCAAGACCAAACTGCAAAGTAAAATTTGTAAGAGGGGAGATTGGCAGTTTTTTAATCTGCATTTTTCCAGTAGGAGAACACTGTATGGTCTAAGGCAAAAGGTGCAATATTGCCAGAACTTCACTGAAATTACTGCTTTGAGTAGAAATGTCTTTTGGGAGTCAGGGAGGAAGGGAGACCTGGAAACAACATCAAAGCTTGAGGTTAGAGTATGTTGGAGAATGGGTACCAATAAAGATATGTCAGCAGCAAAAATAAAACCAAATCTACAGTAGAAGTCAGGCTCTGAATGGTTGGGGGAATAAGAGAGTAAAATTGCAGAACGTTTGGGGGATGTGGAGGAGAAAAAGTATTTTAGAAATGAATGGGAGATGTACAGCGTGGGTTGAAATAGCTAAATGATTCAAGCAGGTGAAATGGTTTGAAATAGTTACTCGCTTGAGGACTTTGTGGATTTTTTTTTTTTGTTTTTTTATTATTGCATAAACTTTCCCTGTGAGAAGCTAGCTGTAGATTGTGGGTTATAACTCTTCTAAGTGCGAGGTGTCTTAAATTGGACAAACATCTTTTCAGTTTTGAGGAGTTACAGTCAGCAGGGGGTTCTTAAATGAGATCATTCTTTCAGCAAAACAGGTACAGGGGCTAACATGTGCACTTGCAAACCTCCTCGTTTCCTTCTGTGATCAGAAATTACTTTTTTATTTGTAGCAACATGAACCGTGAAGACCGGAATGTGCTGCGTATGAAAGAAAGGGAAAGGCGAAATCAAGAAATTCAACAGGGTGAAGAAGCCTTTCCACCTAACTCTCCTCTCTTTGCTGAACCATACAAAGTTGTGAGTTTATGCGGTTCTTACAAATGCAGTTTTTATAGCAGATTCATATTTTAAATTTATTTTTATCTGCATTCTTTTTAGACCCACAGTTCTTATGTCAACCAAGTTTTTAAGCAGGGCTTGAAAGTAAGGACGGACGGTTGCTAACCAGCTCTACTGGCAGATTTATAGTAATGTGTACGAAGGAGGGGCTTCTTTGCAGGGAGTGAAAAAAGGGATGATAAAACCATAAAATTTTTTGGCTTTCTTCTGCTTTTGCTACAGTGACTCAAAACAATTAAACTGTCCATTCTGTCATGCCAAATTCCTTTTTTTGGGTGCCTTAGCCTGTTGCTAAACTTTCTAACCTTCAGTAATCCAGACCTGGCTAAGTTCAAAAAGAGAATGTTTAAATAGGAGATTAATTTTAAATGCTGAAATGCCTGATATGATAGAATTATCAGCTTTAACTAGTATGCTAATTGTTTGTATCTGATTTTTTAGTTTGTTTTGAAGGAGTTGACTCTGTTTATGATCTCGCACAGCTTTAAACCTGTGCTAGGTTTCCTTCCGGGTTTGATTTGCTGAACAGAACTGGAAAAAAAACCCCTAATTCCGGGGTAGCTAAAAAAGTACTATTTAAGGTTTTCATTATGTAGCTCAAAATTCACTTTGAAAGCAAACCCATGCGCTTATCACAATTTCAGCTGGTTTGCAAGAAGTAAAACATTGTGACTGAAAATGGTCTTCCTGCAAGAGGAAAGTTGAGAAATGTTTTTTTAAATTCCTGTCCTCCCATCACTTTACTGTACTTTATAACCAAATCCCACATGTATGAAGTTAACTAGAAGTGGTTGGGATGCATCGGTAATGATACAGTATACCTGATTTGGAAAACAAACTGGTTATATAAGAAAGAACCCTTCTAACTGTTGGCAGCAAGTATTATGCCAGTATAAATACCAGTTAAAAATTATGCGCAGTGGTGAGGTTAAGCTGATTTTATTTTACCATTAATTAAAAATTTTTAGGACTAATGCATTTGGTATTAGAGAAATAGTCTTTAAGGTGACAATTTTTAAGGCATCTACAATTTTTATACTTGCATCCATCTCACCAATGCATTATTTGAAGCATTGATTAGTGCTGTTCCAACTGTTCTGCTGCTGAAGTACATCTTTTCCTTATGTTTTAGAGGGTTAAATTACTGCTTTAAGAACTAAAATTGGGAATTGGAAACAATGGCAAAAAAACCATGGATGCTAGCCATGACCTTAGCCCTGAAATTGAGATTAACTGCAGTAGTTATCAAATCAATTAACTGAAAGTGAAGTTGTGATTTTTTTAAAGCATTATTTTTTAAAATTATTTTCACAGACCAGCAAAGAAGACAAATTGTCTAGTCGTATTCAGAGCATGCTTGGTAATTATGATGAAATGGAGGATCTTATAGGAGATAGATCGCTACAAAAGCTTGTTGTAATTCCCAAACCAACCGTACCATCAGCACCAGATGAAAAATCAAACCAAAGTTTCTTTGGTGATCAGAGACATAATACTAGCTCACATCAGAGCAGCAAATGGACTCCTGTAGGACCAGCACCTAGCACTTCCTCGCAATCTCAGAAACGGTCCTCGGGTTTACAGAGCGGACATAGTAGTCAGCGTGGCAGTGGCAATCACACTAGCAGTAGTGGCCAGAGGCATGACCGTGACTCGTACAGTAGCAGCAGCAGCCGCAAAAAAAGCCAGCATGGGTCCGAACACTCCAAACCCCGTTCTTCCAGCCCTGGAAAACCATCTGCTGTTTCTTCGTTGAGCTCCAGCCATTCGAGATCTCATGGAAATGATCACCACAGCAAAGAACATCAACGTTCAAAATCGCCCCGGGATCCTGACGCCAACTGGGACTCTCCCTCCCGTGTACCTTCATTTTCAAGTGGACAACACTCTAATCAGTCTTTTCCACCTTCACTAATGTCCAAGTCCAGTTCAATGTTACAGAAACCCACTGCGTACGTAAGGCCAATGGATGGACAGGAATCCATGGAACCAAAGTTATCCTCTGAACACTACAGTAGTCAGACTCACAGCAGCAGTATGAATGAGCTGAAGCCTAGCAGCAAAGCACATCTAACTAAGCTGAAAATACCTTCTCAACCACTAGATGTAAGTTGCTGTCTGATTCCTGGCTTCTTAAATATAAGTCCCTTTGGGCTGGTATTTTCCAGCTTCTTTAAAATCCCAATCTACATAACCGAAATTTAGTTTTTAGTAAACACTGGGGTTTTTTTGTTATGCAAAGCATCTTAAACTTATGCAGTGAAGACCTGTATTTTACATGGGGAATATACAAAAGTAATTATTTTTTCCTTCTGCTTCTTCCATGTGGATACTGTGATTTGTGTAATAAAGGCTATGAGACATTCAAAAAGGCTAACTTAACCCAGAGAGGCTAATTTTCGTAGAGTATTTCTGTAGTCAGAAGTTAGTGAAATAGTGGGATATTCACAAATATTTTGACAAGCTAGATACATATATTGTCACTACTGGCTGTCATGTTGTCCTAAACTAGTGATACTATGTGCATATATCAGATTTTCTTTTCAAGTGTAGCAATGACTAGATGTGATTATTATACCTTTACCTACGGAAAATAAGCTACCCCTAAAGCACACCAAATTGAACAGGGTTCAGAACTTGTATCATGTATGCTGGATACAAAAAACAGTTAACAACTTTTAGTAGTTTGGTAATTCCTGAAGCGTTAAGGCACAGACTCTGACTACAGCTCACTTACAAGGAGAGTGCCTTTCTTAATAATAAAATGTCATTGCATCTCCTATTTAACTGCTTGAATTGTGGTAGCTAGAGAAAACCCCATTTCTTCAACAAATAGCAAAATAAGATCCAGGACACAGGTAAGGAAATTTGAAAATAAACTTATTTTCTTATTCATGAAGGCTTGATATGCTAATGCTGATGCAGTGAACCGCATAGTAGCTTTGCTTCCTTTCTGCTTCCTTCTGCTTGTGGCAGTCAGGGATGCAGAAGGTTCATAGTTTCATAATTATTGCTGTTTCTGGATTCATGCTGTAATGTATATTTTACTTCTTAATGCAGTTTGTCATTACTGTGTATTCACAGTCATGCATTTGAATTCAGACATTATCCAGTGGCTTCTTCCAAGAAATGATTGAAAGCTACGATTCTCTTTCCTCTCTCTCTAGAAGTTTTTTAGTATCACTGACTGGCTATGATCACTTTAACTGTCAAGTGAAAAGTAAGAGATTATTGTGGCAGTTTTATAGATCTCATGTATTTGCTTTTCATAGGTGGATGTGACTCATACCATAAAAATATGGATCTATGATATTAAAATTAATGTTGCTGAAAAGAATTAGCAAGGTCTGTTTGTATCTATATAGAGTCCATATGAGTCATGATAAGGATTGAAGTTTATTTTTACCTGTTTCTAGCCCCTGGGGTCTTTTAAGGAAAATTTGCTTTAGGAGACATTAATCTTGAGTTTTGATTTGTAGGCATCAGCATCTGGTGATGTGAGCTGCGTGGATGAAATTCTAAAAGTAAGTTCTCTGTGCTTTTGTTCATAACTTGTTGAAAATACAAACATTACTAAGAAGGTGGAAAGTATTCTGCAGTTGATTAGTGCCTTTTAAATTGACTTGGCTTCAAGTCGTTACAGGAGGGCTCTTCAATTACTCCTCTAGCGCAGGTAGACTGGGGAAAACTGGAAGCAGAGCTGTGTGCGAGCTGGGCACGGGGCGTTGCTGGGTATGCACATCATCTGCTGGGTATCCTCACTGCATTCCTGTTCTGCTAGGCCACCTCCCTGTTAACCTAACCAGAATTTCCCATTTCTTCCACCAAAATACAGTCCTTAGATTCTGATATTTTTTTAGATGATATTAATTTTTTTGCTACCCCAAGGCAGAACTTTCCCTTCTCTTCCACCTAGGTTATTTTCTCAAGTCTTTTTACCTCTCACGTGATCCCCTGGTCGTATGTCTACTATCACAAAAGAATCATTAGATTCCCGTTGAGCATTTCCATGGTTTGCCATTTGCTCTGACATTCAGTACTCCATGGTCCTTGGAGATGCTCTGAGAGAATACTGGGCACTTTCTTTCCAGCTTCAGGCATTTGATTTTCCCCTTTTTCCTCAAACTTTATAGGCTTCCCTTTCCTAGGATTCTTCTTTCTACCCCTGTATATCCTACATGTGCTCTTCACAGTCTGAAATGATCAGACTCTGACTTCAGCTGCAGTTTGTGTTCAGGCCAGCCAATTTTATTGATTTATGCCTTTCTGCTTCTCTTAACCATCTGTTCTCATGGGTAACAATTTAAGATTTAGGTTTATGTGTAAAATCTTTGTTACACATCTGGGAAACTAAGGTTTGAATATAAAGCTTAGTGAAGTGTGGACAATGAACTGAAAATTGAGAGACAGGGTTACCATTTGAATCAAAATTGTAACTTGAAATCTTTGCTTTAATTTTGTTAATAGCTTTTCTTTTTCATTCTGGTTGTAGGAGATGACCCATTCTTGGCCTCCTCCACTGACTGCTATTCATACGCCATGCAAAACTGAACCGTCAAAATTTCCTTTTCCAACAAAGGTCAGTCCTGTAGTCAAATACTGAATGCTGTTGAAAGAGTAACTCCTATTAAAGACCAGGATTTTGGAACTCTTTTAGATTCAATTCTATATAGTTCTGGGTTTGTTTCAGTGCTTTGTATCTCTTTATCTTGCTTCACAACAACATTTGTCAGCAGTAGCCTTATGAAGAATGTCATTGTTTTTCCTCCGGTTTACGCACACACAGCAGTCTGCAAAGATGTCTATAATATAGCTTTCCTTTTACTTTTTAATTTTTGTTTCATAAATTCAAACCTTCAGGATACTTCTGAAGCTTGAAAATGCCATTGAGCCTTTTTCCCTGTTAGGGAAACGCTTTGCACCATTTTGTGTAGAGGCAAGCAAGTGTTTTGTTTACCTCCCTCCATCTAGCAAAGCAATGGAGACTGGCTGGTAAATGCTAAGAAATTTAAGTGTCGTTTTCTGCATAAACTGAATTTTCCTCATAATTTTGAAGTCCGTTAATAGTTCTATTAGATCTTAAATTTTCAATTACAGAAAAATAAAAGTTTTAAAATCAGATGTTTTGCTGAAGAAATTTTGAGATCACTTGTTCCGAAAGATCTCTTCCTAACCTCCCATATACTTAATAACTACTGAAGCATTTAAGCTATTAATTCTAAAGAGAAATCAGTTGCTCTTTGCTGCTGTTGACAGCACAGGGCACGGTTCCAGGAGACCTGCTTGAGCTGACACCTCTGAGGAAGGAGTTCTCTTGCTCTCAGCTGCTTGCTCCCCGCCCTGAGGCTGGGTCTGGCAGCCCCCGCTGCAGGGTTTCAAGGCAAACCAGCACTGGTGATTGTTTGCCTTGAAATACAGCTCTGTGATCTGCAGTGTCTTGGAAGGTGATGGGTAGGCAGGGTAGAGATAGGCAGGGTAGATAGCTGTGGGTAGCAACTTCAGCAAGTACAGTTCAGCTTGCAATAGCTGACTCATTCAAGAATTCATGTTTTGTTTCCTGTATCTACTGATTACCAGTAAAAGATTTAACTTGACAATGTAATTTTTCTCCAGACTCAACATATATCTGAAATGGATTGGGGTACTCCACCCCTAATTTGGCATAACTTCAGAGTGAAGAAATCATGCTGTTTGTCTTTTAAAAGTTTCCTTCATAATAATGAAGACTACACTTTTTCTGACCAGACTGCTGTTTCAGAGCACCACTTGCTGCTATCAGTTTCCTGTTTGATCCAAATAGCTCCCCAAAACAGAACAGTTCAGTGAAGTATTTTAAGAAGACTTTCTCACTGAGGTCTCTAATGTAATCTGTTGAAACAGATTGTCTTATGTGAATGCTGTGACATCACCTTCTTTTAGCCAAAGGTTCCGGGTCCCATGTTTTAAGTGCACATCCACAAAACTCCCGCAGACTGGTGCGAAGTTAAATGGTTCAGGGTCTCCTACTGGCTAGATATCCCAGAGCTATGGGCAGTCCTGTTGTCATTGCTCTCTGTGTTGCGTGTTCCTGTCTCACTGTATCTTGCTTGCTTCTCTCCAGTGAGCTGAAAATGCAGAACATACTATACAGTTCTTAGCTTTACTTTTGAAGGCATATCTAGAAAAAAATCTTGTTGTCTATTTTCTTACCATTAGATCAAGATTAATTTCGCATATATTACTTTTAGTCAGGGTTTATTTGCTGTGTTATATAAAACTGTGAACTTGGAAATAGTTCTTACTTTTTATTGTAAAGAAAGAAAATCCACACCTTGCCTCATCAACAAAAGGTGCTTATTCCACTGCTTTGAATACTTATTCCTGAACTTCTGGGGAGTTGTTTTCCCTTCACACACTTTTGAGCACACTTGATTGTGGGTTGCTAGAACTGCTTGTTTCTGCGTTTTCTGGTATTTGATTCAGTTTGGGAAGAAAGAAGGTGTGCAGAAATATATGTCTGTGATGCAGAGAGAAACTATGTAAGATTGCAGAGTCTTGTTATGTTTGAACAAAAGAGGTAGGTTGTGTTTTTTTGAACCTATCAACCTGGATTGTGTTTCTTCACCCGGTTTGCAAAAAATTCCATTTATGGCTGCTCTGAGTCTCTTGACTTTTTGCCAGCTTTTTTATTTTGTGGCTGCACATCTTAGCCATGGAACTTTGTCAAATTCTCTCTCCGCATCCAAAGCCTATAATTTCCTCTGCCTTCTCCCCTCTGTCATTCTTGGCAGCAGGATCTTCGCAGAATTCGTGGGGGAGCCATAGGCTTGTGCAGTCTGGACCCAGAGCAGAATTCAGAAAACAAAACAAAACAGTGGTTTACTTTAATCAAGCAGTACTGTTCGAGGCAAGCTCATTCTCTTTAATACTGCGCTCAATTTATTTACAAGTAATATGCTGCATCACGGCATT